CAGTGTCCAGGAATGTGAAAGAGTTAAAACAAGGGAAGTCGTCTTACATTAACACTTTAGTGCTTTTGTTTGTTTTATACTACGTTTGTCAAAAAGTTTTGCACGATGTTGCCATTTTATTATGCAAATAAACTTGCTCTTTTTCATAGCTTTTAATTTGAATATTGTTTGAAGCACAAAATTGTCAGGATATGGAAGAGGCAGGAAAACTTTTACAATTAAAAAGGTGTTTTTTTTATTTGATTAATCGAAGGTATAAGTGGAAAAAACAATCAATTGTCACAATAAACACTAGTTGCAGCCCGAATGACTCCCGGTTGTGAGTCGCTCAGTTTCACTGGTGTGTGTGTGTGTGTGTGTGTGATTCCTCATCAATTCAGTTCTGATGCACCTCAAGAAAACACTAAAGAGCCATTTAAACTCAACAAACACAAACTAAAGAGCCATTTAAACTCAACAAACACATACTTTATGGGTGATGAAGTAAAATCTTATTCACGTAATAACTTGGAAAATTAAGGATCTCAAAGATCAATGATGAAATCTATTGAAGATGATGTGAAAAAGACATTCATACAATGTCAGGCAATAACTTTACAAGGCTTACCTAATTCGTTGTATAATCCAACTCCACGTTGCAATAAAGCAGCAAATTCCACTGTCACTGCTCTTTTAAAGTGATTATTCCTCAGTCACAGTCCGTGTGTGTGTGTGTGTGTGTGTGTGTGTAGAAGATAAGAAAACAGAAGCCGTTTCTTTTGATGCAGTTCACCTGTCACACACACTCAGCTGATTAATTAATTTTGTCTTTTAGTAATAAATATTCTTAAATAGCACTATTGTGGCGACCACACCAAACATACAGTGGTAGCCAAAAGTGATGTGCAGAGTTTTTTTTTAAATGACCCTACAAGTTTGCTTAAATATGAGGAAAATATTTTTATATTTATATATATAAAAAAAAAATATGAGGGAAGAATACATTGGAAATATAAATAACTGATTATTTTGTTGTCAATTCCAATTCCGATTGATTTATAAAGCACATAATAATGCAACAATGTTGATCATACTGCTGCACAAACAATAAAACATTAAAATAAAACAAACACAAATAACTATAAATAAAAAATATGAAAAATATCTAGAACCTCAGACTCTTAAGAGTCTTAAATACACATAAAACATCTTCAGACTCTTAAAGTCTGAAGATGTTTTATGTGTATTTAAGACTCTTAACAATCGTGTATTTAAATACCACAGATATTTAAATACCTGTGACAACAGTACCTCGACACTCATGTATGATCAGAAGCTAATGTGAAAAAATATGTTTTTATATGCCTTTTAAACTCACTAAGGTTTGATGATATATTGTGGTAAACTGTTTCATAACGTTGGGGCAGCAACGCAAAGTCTCGTTCTCTTGTTTTCAGATTTGTCCACGGAACCCTAACTAAAAGATTCTGTGACTGAGATCGTAAAAGTCTCTTTGACTTCTGCTCCTGAATCAGGTCCACAATATACAGAGGGGCTGTACCATGTAAAGATTTTTTTTTTTAACTTGGCAACCAATGCAGCGATCTTAATACAGGGGTAAGGGACCGTTCGGTATTTATGGAAAGGGCCACCAGAGGAAAATAGGGGAGGGTCATGTCTTTTTATTCTTTGTTGAGGGGAGGGTCATCCAACTTTTTTTGGTCTATAGGGGAGGGTCACCCAACTTTTGTATTCATCAAAACAGCTAAATTTCAAAGTGGCTTGTTTGGTGCATATTTCTTTCCATGTAGCTCCATGTAGCTCTCTCGGTCTCGGCCCCTCATCGCTATCAGATGGGTCTGACCCAACAAAAATCCAGTTTGGCGCTGTCTGACAGTGCGCGCGCGCTTCAGTACGCGCTCAGAAAAAGTGCAATAGAACAGAACGCCAATGAAATGTTTACCCGGCAAAGCTTTAAAGCACGAGCAAACAATGAACTTTTGGGATTGCGAATAAGTGCAGTGTCCTGTGAGTGTTACTCTACCGCTGCATTAACATGTGATGTGAATGTACGTCGAGTTTTACAGTATTGGGACTGAGGCGCCAGAACTGCAGCTGATGTGCGCTGTAGCACGATACTATTTTAGTTTCCATTCTTATTGTGTTTCCACAACAATGTTAGTGAGCAAATCTACTGAAATTGCCACAATAAAAGTGGAGTGTGATGTGTTGGACATAGGGCTACCACATTTTTTAATTACTATTCGTATTATTTGAAGTTAACATAATAAAATACGTAGACCTACACCCAAAAAACTTGTTGAGGATAAATTCTTTAAAATTGGGCAATTCCAGCGTTGTGGACGTGACATTTGCAGTCAAAATTTGAAATATAAATTCTCAGAAAATGCATTTAATACTGAAATATATAAGTTAATATAACTCTATTTATATATTCATACTCCCTTAAGGCGGGCTTACACAGTGCGATTTTTTGCTGTTTTACGAAGTCGCAGATTTTTTTCACTCGGGAGAAATCGCGTGGAAATCGGTTGTGCTCGCATGTTGCGGCTCGTGTCGTGTGCTAGGAAGATATGAGCCGAGCCGAACCTCTCGACCTCACGATAATTTTTAAACATGTCTAAAAAGTTCGGGAGCTGTAGGCTTGAATTCGTGAGGTGTGTGCGCTGTGCAGTTGAATGAGCCGATTTGTCGATCTATCTGAATTTGACCAATCAGGAGCTGAAGAAATCCACAGAAGAAAGACGAAAATGGCAGCGCGCGAATTTGGACTATTGAAAGGGAACCCTACTACTTTATTATGATTTTAGTATCATATTGATTAATAAATGCACGCACAATTATCAGTGAACTTGATAAATGTTGCAGATATGTTTTACTATGCACAAACAAATGCCTTTCAACTTGTGTGCCAAATTCTGAATTAAATGAATGTGCAGCAATTTGTACAAATAGAGTCTGTAGCCTATGTGTTGTAGCCATAATAAGCGCATTAGGTTTCATATTTATTATAATGTTTTTTTTCATCTATGTTTATTATGAAAAGTATAGCCTATACGCAATATATCGGGAGACATGGCCAGACATGATTTTGACCACTTCATTAAGTGTTGTTTTGTAGAAAGCCTTTCTTTAAAGTGAATTTCGTTTTGTATAAATTGTATCTTAATTTTAATACATTTTTCATCAACCAATTACCTGGATTTCATTAATAATTGTTGCATGCAGCACACATATGTCGAAATAAGACATAACCACAACAATCATCGAATTGAATTGTCCTGGTTTGAGACTGTTAATAACACAAAATATTCTTTTTATTTTTTTCGTGTTCGCATTTATGAGGGAATTTTTTTTTACTGACGTGACAGTTCTCCGTTACGGACATGACCACTCTGAAAGTGACTTTAAAACTTTTACAGATAAATATATAGAAAGCTTGACATGTCTACTTTTTAACAGAATAATTCAAAACGAAAGAAAACAGACTACAGACTCTGCTTCTGTAATCCGTAAATGTGCATTTCTCTCTGGCGAGTTCACTACTGCGAAGATCGCGAGTCAGCATCATCACCTTTATATTTGCAGCCACACTGACAAAGACTTGTTTATTGATAAACAATTAAAATGTCCCTTTTGAAATTATTCATAATCATTACTTTTGCCGGTTCTTTGTGGCAGCTTTAAGATACTGTATTTGCAGCGCCACCCTTACATTTTACATAAACGCGTCACCACTGCATCAGCACCGAAAACATGATTTAAAAAAATTTATTTGTATTTATTTTTTCAAATCAAAAATCGTGATACGAACCGAATTGTAGGTTTGGTCTATCGTTACAGCCGCAAGATGAGAAAGCAGGAGTTTAGTCGTTTATCGTGGAATGGCTATCTGAACATCTTTGCCAAAACCAGTACAAAAGTAATTAATAAATTATCGGGGAGGGTCATGCCTTTTTTCACAATCATTTTGGAGGGTCATAGAAACAATTATTGCTGGCGAAGGGAGGGTCAAGTCTTTTTTGACTACAGATCTCAAATCTCCTCCGGTGGCCCTTTAAATAAATAACGAACAGTCCCTAATATGATCATATTTGCGAGTCCCTTTCAACAGTTTTGTGGCCGCATTTTGGACAGATTACAGATAGTCCAAAATGCGGCCACAAAACTGTTGAAAGGGACTCGCAAATATGATCATATTACCCCTGTATTAAGATCGCTGCATTGGTTGCCAAGTTAAAAAGTTATCACATATAAAACAATTGACTCGAAGCACAACTATGCAATATGCGTAAAAATCTTTAATATATTTTTAATTATATATAGATAAAGGGTGAAGATGTCAATTTTCCTAGGCTGGTCATCACTTTTGGCCACTCCTGTATGGCAGCTCATTTTTAACCGTTCTTCAAATCGTGCAGAAAAATCAAGCCACTTTTATGAGGATTGCAAGCTTTCCTGGAGTTGTTGATGGAACTCATGTTTGCATCATTGCTCTAACTATTAATGAGGAGACATATATCAATAGAAAAGGATTCCGTAGCATCAATACTAATTTGTCATTATTTTTCACAATGCAAATCCATTTAAAAAAAAATAAATGTAAGTATTAAAATAAATGTTTCAGTTTCTTAATTAAATTATTTTATTATAATTAGATTAAATGATTGGTGTCATGCTATTCAGCACAGAAACTTGTGTCACCAAGCAAACATTAGGAAAATAGTCTCTCTGAAAGTCCCTTCCTGTTTTTTCTCCTCTGTCTTTCTGTCTTCCAAGTATTTAATGGACTATTGTTCCCCAGTTTATGATCTGAGAGTAACTGCAGTCATGATATTACCACTTCAAGATCACTGTCAGAAGGTTTAAAGTGTTTACAGTTTAAGAAAGGCTTATTGAGTCTTTCACCTGAGGGTCGTTTTAAGTGTGCATTGGAACTGTAATTATATTGCACACAAAAGGACTCTTATTTTGATAGAGCGACAGACTGACGTCATTTTTGAGGAAGTGCTCCAGCTGCATCACACAGTTCAATGACAGGAGATCACCGGGGACTACACGTGCCTGTTTTCCTGCTAGGTATTTTTTATAATTGGTCAATAATGGCATAGATATTTACATGTGAGTTACTTCTTTCTTTTGACTATATAAATAATTATTTATTTATTTATTTAAAAAATGAATGAAACTACGAAGCAAGGAGGATGCACACGCACTCTTGCATTAACTGTGTGCTCTGCAGCCATTGGTGGCACTTTTCAGTATGGCTATAATATTTCTATCATTAATGCACCCACATCTTATGTTCAGAAGTTCATTAATGAGACCTGTACGAAGAGATGGGGTACAGCTCTTGAGCCTAGTCAGGTGACACTGATATGGACCTTTATTGTTTCCACTTACTCACTCGGAGGACTTTTGGGATCCCTGCTTGCTGGCCCAATGGCTATCAAGTTTGGACGGAAGGGTTCCCTGCTGCTGAACAACAGCTTTCTCTTTCTGAGTGCAGTCCTGGCTCTGAGCAGTCGCTCGGCTGGGTCCTTTGAGATGATCATTCTGGCACGTCTGCTTGTGGGGGTAAATGCTGGTGTTAGTATGAACGTCCAGCCCATGTACTTCGGAGAAAGTGCACCTAAGAACCTGAGAGGTGCCGTTGCCTTTTCTTCGGCTGTTTTCACTGCTCTAGGGATCCTGATGGGCCAGATAATAGGTCTGACTGAAGTATTGGGGAGTGAGTTTCTCTGGCCTTATCTACTGGCAAGCAATGCTCTCCCCGGACTAGTACAGCTGATCACCTTGCCCTGGTTTCCAGAGAGCCCGCGTTACTTGCTCATTGACCGAGGGGACAGAGAGGCGTGCGGCCAGGCCCTGAAACGCCTCAGAGCGTGCAGTGTTTTCACTGAAGAGATGGAAGAGATTCTCCAGGAGCGGGCAGGAGCGGGTGATGCCCATGCCAAGACACTGTGGGAACTGATCCGAGACAGAAGTCTTCGCAGGCAGCTCTGCATTGTAATGGCTGCCAGCAGTGCCATGATGCTGTGTGGAAATGATTCCATTTACTTCTATGCCTCCTATATCTTTCAGGAAGCCGGCATTCCAATGGACAAGATTCAGTATATCACAATCGGCACGGGTGCCTGTGAGTTCACTTCCGCTTTGGCCTGTAATCTACTGATCGAGCGTGTTGGACGCAGGTTACTCCTCGCAGGCGGGTATCTGTTCATGGCTTGCTGGGCGGTGGTCTTCACTGTTGCTCTCTCGCTGGAGGGCAAAGTGGCCGGCATGCCGTATCTGAGTATGGCCTGCGTGTTCGCCTACATCTTCAGTTTTGGCATGGGTCCCGCAGGAGTCACCGGGATCCTCCCAGCCGAGCTCTTTGACCAACTGACACGTCCCGCAGCTTACATGGTTGCCGGATCCATGATGTGGCTTAATCTCTTCATCATAGGAATGGCGTTTCCATTCATAGTTAATGGCCTGGGACAGTTCTGCTTCCTTCCCTTCTGCGCTGTTTGTGTGGCTGCTTGTCTTTTTATCAGTTTCACTTTACCTGAAACCAAAGGGAGGACACTGGCAGAGATCACGGAGGAGTGGAATAAGAAAGACACAGCTAATGGACGTCCTAAATACAGTCAACAATCACAAAGTCTGACTGATCCACCAGAATGCCTAGAGATTGAGAAGATCTGAGTGAAATCTGCCTCAATTCTGCTTTTACTTTTATGAGTTTGACACTGTAATTGTTTTCCAACTTGTTTCTATTTTGACACTAATTTTTGTCTATTCATTTATTCGTAATTTATTCAAAATTAGTGAGAATTGCATACGTTTTTCAGAACTATATAAACCCTGCATGAATAAAAAAAAAAACTACAAGTTGATGTATAATTTATTATACTTCCTAATTGAATATTGAAAATCAGCTAGAAATACAATACATGCAATTGTAAAAAACGAAACAGGTGCATGTTGGAAATGTATGTAGAATTTGATACTCTATTTCAGGGATACAGTTTTTTGTTGTTTGGTTGTTTTTATTTTGTTTACTATTTCCCAGAATACTTGAATCTTCATGCCTGCAAAAGTGAAATGCAATTTGCACTTATGTATTTACCTCATTCTGTGTCTCCAATGTAATATTGTTCATTATTTATAAAAGAGTTACTTGTTTTGAAAGCCACAACCAAAGATCAGTGCACTATATTACCCTGCTGTCTTGCATTTGTCGGAGATAAAGACAGTATGAGATCTCTGTATGAGAGATTGCAAGTTATTTGCTTGCTGTACCAGCAGATGGCCCTATATCACCATAATTGTTTTCTTCTGTCTGTACTTTGTCTTCTCAATCAACCAAAAAAAACAAGAAAATTCACAGCATGCCATTGCGTTTAGATGTAAAAGAAGACAATCAGTATCAACACAAAGTAACCTTAATTTGTGCCTTAGAGTTTCACATATTTTCTGCCTACTAACCTGCCTATGTAATCTAAGAAAAGAAATATAACCTATATTCAACCAAATGAAATGGAATATTCTATCTAAAGGTTTTGAATTGCATGATGATTAATCATTTGTCCTAATTCTTATAATTCATGTGTAAGAACTTTGTTAAATCAAAATGCTGTTTTTATGAGGGTATATTCTAGCTAGTAAAAAATAAGTTGCTTGATGAAAGACTCTCACTGTTCCTTCCATTGATGATTGATATGATTATGCTGGACATTTTTTTTTTGCACATGAGAAATGATACTTTGCATGTAATTGTATTAAATGTGTAATGTTAAATTCACACTGGTGCCTTCTTTGACAGCTAATGGACTACTTGCACAACTACTTCCGCATTATATTTATAACATCTCGGGAGTTTCCGGTAACAGCGTTCAGCTGTTCAGAAGGTGCCTGTAACTATGTAAAATTTTGGTTTTATGCAACATATAAATGGAGCAACTCATGTTCGTGGTCACACTTTGGACCTTATTTTGTCACATGCTGTTGCTGTAGATGATGTGAACATAGAAGATGCCTCCTTTTCTGATCACAGCCCTATTGTTTTTAATCTCAATGCTGAGAACTCTGCTGTTATGGAAAAACATCTGGGCCATTACTCTCGTTGTATAAATTCATCTATTCCTCCTCAGTTTAGTGAGATCTATCATGCTAACGCTGTTGAAGGATCAATTTTGAATGCTGTTGACTTTTCCACTGGGCCAGATGAAATAACTACTCTCCTCTATACAAATTGTTCTAATATTTTAGATATTTTTGCACCTTTTAAGTTAAAGACACCCAGACATAAATCTTATTATTGGCTTGGCGAAAATGCTCGCTCTCTTAGGCGGGCATGTCGTCAAGCGGAGAGGAAATGGAAACAGGATTCGTCAACTGTGTCTTGTGAGTTTTTCAAAGAATGTTTATTTAACTTTCAGAAAGCTGCATTTTTCAGATTTAATTACTACACACTCTCATAGACCTAGAATTCTGTTTTCCATGATTAATTCAGTAATTAATCCAGGTTGCCAGTTTCATGTGGAACCCTCAACTAAACTTTGTGAAGATTTTTTACATTTTTTTTCAGATAAAGTGTCAAGTCAAGTCAAGTCATCTTCATTTATATAGCGCTTTTAACAATGGATTGTTTCAAAGCAGCTTTACAGAGATAAAGATATATTTTTAAGATGGAAAAATGCAGTTTTACAGATACTAGACACATGGCTTTAAAAAGAAAGGTTGGTATCAAAGAGCACACACACACACACACACACACACACACACACACACACACACACACACACACACACACAGGCTCCTAACCGACGACGAAGTGTTAGACAGTATTCTAGGTTATTACGTGTGGAAGTTTATGGTCCAATAATTAGAATCTCTGTCTTTTCAGAATTCAGTAGTAGAAAATTACTAGTCATCCAATTTTTTATATCAGCTATGCATTCTGTTAATTTTGTGAATTGGTAAGTTCGTTAGGTTTTGAAGAAATATACAGCTGAGTATCATCGGCATAACAGTGAAAACTAATTCCATATTTCCTAATGATATCTCCTAATGGTAGCATGTACAGAGTGAACAGCAGCGGTCCTAGTACTGAGCCTTGTGGTACGCCATACTGAACTTGTGATCGATAAGACATCTCTTCATTTACTGCTACAAACTGAAAACGGTCAGTTAAGTATGATTTAAATCATGCTAGTGCAATTCCACTAATGCCAACATAGTTTTCTAGTCTATTTAAAAGAATGTTGTGGTCAATTGTGTCAAATGCAGCACTAACATCGAGTAACACTAATAGAGAGATACAACCACGATCGGATGATAGGAACAAATAATTTGTGACTCTGATGAGAGCTGTCTCGGTACTATGGTACGGTCTAAATCCGGACTGAAAATCCTCGCAGATATCATTTCTTTCTAGAAAGGAACACAGTTGTGAGGATAGTGCTTTTTCTAATATCTTTGACAGAAAAGGCAGATTCGAGATCGGCCTGTAATTGACTAAGTCTGTAGGATCAAGTTGTGGTTTTTTAACAAGCGGTTTTATCATAGCCAGTTTAAAGGTTTTTGGTACGTGTCCTAGAGACAAAGATGAATTAATGATATTAAGAAGAGGATATATTACCTCTGGAAACATCTCTTTCAGTAGCTTAGTCGGTATAGGATCTAACATACAAGTTGTTGATTTAGATGAATTTACGAGTTTGCAGAATTCTTCCTCTCCTATAGCAACAAATGAATAAAAATTTTCCTCAGGGAGACTACAATGCACTCCCTGATGCGATACTGGGGTAGACGGTTGCATAGTTATAATTTTGTCCCTGATATTATCAATCTTATAAGTGAAGAAGTTCATAAAGTCATCACTGCTGTGTTGCTTGGAGACTTCTGAGCTTGAAGCTTTCTTTTTCGTTAGTTTAGCCACTGTTTCAAATAAATACCTTGGATTATGTTTATTTTCTTCTAATAGGGTTGAAAAATAAGCAGATCTAGCAGCTTTTAAAGCCTCTCTGTAAGCAATCGAGCTCTCTTTCCATGAAATCCGAAATACCTCTAGTTTAGTTTTCTTCCAGTTGCGCTCCATTTTTCTGGTTGCTCTCTTAAGGGCCTGAGTGTGTGTGTGTGTGTGTGTGTGTGTGTGTGTGTGTGTTCTCGTTGTACCACAGCGTTGGACTATTTTCTTTAATCTTTTTTTAGCGCAATGGAGCAACTGCGTCTAAAGTGCTGGAAAAGAGAGAGTTAAAAGTTTCTGTTTCAATATCAAGTTCTTCTAAGCTATCCGGGATGCTGAAGTGTTAGCTATCCGCTCCTCTTTTGTCTTGCAGTCATCAGATCTGTCACTGTTTTCACTGGCAAGTCCGGCTTCTTTTTCTGGTTTTCAAAGTGTTCCTTTGAGGGAACTTTGTGATCTGGTCAATAAGATGAAGAAAACTACCTCTTCACTTGATGTCATTCCTTCTGAGATTATTAAGGCCTCTTTTTCTGAAATCGGTACTTCCCTTCAGTCATTGATTAACTTGTCTCTAAAGCCCCTTTCACACAGCGCTTTGAACCCGGCAAATTGCCGGCAAATTGCCAGAGTGCCTTTTGTGTGAACGCAAACACGACCCGGGATTGATGCCAGGATCGATGCCGGGTTGGGGACCTAGTAACATTGCCGTGTTCAGACCCGGAACGCGCGCTGTGTGAACAAAAGCCAGAACCAATGCCGTATAACGGGTGTGTCGTAGTGATTGTCGGATAATTCACGAGCCTTTGCAATGACGTAGTTATCGTGCGACTCAGTTAGGCTACTCTAGAAGAAAGTTTGTGTTCGTCATCGATACAAGAAAGAACGAAAAAATGTCTGCAAACTGGACTGAAGTAGAGATCCGTCACATCCAACGTCACGCGTCTTTCCGGAACATACACGGGTTGTGTGTGAACGCGCTCTCTGATTCCGGCAAATCACTGGCAGTGTGAATGAAGCAAAATCAAACGAACCCGGGTCAAATCTCGGGTCACTTTATCCGTGTATTTTCCGGAATCTCTGTGTGAAAGGGGCTTAAGTGCTGGGGTAGTCCTGAAATTTTTTAAACATGCTGTAGTTCAACCTTTGCTCAAGAAACAGAGTTTGGATGAAAACTGTCTTGATAATTATCGGCCTGTCTCTAAGCTTTCATTTTTGTCTAAACCTTTAGAAAAAGTTGTATATTCACAATTGATCTCCTTTTTGAATGCAGCTAAATTAACAGAACCTCTCCAATCTGTTTTTTTCTGCCCATCATAGCACTGAGTCTGCTTTGCTTAAAGTATTCAATGACATTTTGCTTGCAGCGGATAGTGGTAAAAATTCAGTTCTGTTGCTTCTTGAGCTTACAGCTGCTTTTGATACAGTTGATCATGATATTCTTCTCTGCCGGTTAGAAAATTGTAGGGCTGTTTTCGACTAAGAATTTTCATAGTCGAATCTGATTCGTTAGATTTTGCCGTAGTCGACTGAAAGTTGAACCTTTTTTTTTTTTTTTTTTAGATAGCAGCTAGACGTTCGGTTGAATAACTGTTCGCCTGTTATAGGACAACTCGCTCTACGTTTATTTAAAATGAACAGCAAGACAACTAGAAGTGAATGTGCTTTCCATTAAATGAATCCTTAACACAAAAAAAACGTTGCAATGAACGTGCTGTTTTAAATAAATCACACACAGTAAACAAAACCTTAACAAAAAAACTTTGCAATGAACTTTGCAATTTAGACGCGCAAACTGCGTGCCGGTGCGGTGAGACGTAGCCTACATGCTCGGGCAGATTCGTCTTGAAGTCGTTCATCCTCGGATGCGGCGTCGCGTGCGCTGTTACAAAAAAAGCTGTGCACACAGCCAAGCAAAATGGGGTCTTGCGCCCCCAACGCGTCATTTTTTTTGTATTAATTGCACGGTTTTGGCGGTTATAGAGTTCTAATGACGGTGTCTAATGACCATCGGTCTCGGTTATATAATAACATCACACCCCTCATAACACTTGCCTACTATTCGACTATGAGGTTCATAGTCGAATCAGACCTCTCCGAATCGAATCGTCGAATCCTCGACTATTAGAAGTCAGCCCTAGAAAATTTGTTTGGTATTGGGGGTATTGTTTTGCAGTGGTTTAATTCTTATCTTAGAGACAGGTTTTTTTCTGTTGAGTTGGGTAAGTTTTCTTCGTCTGTTGCTCCTATTATCTGTGGAGTGCCTCAAGGATCCATTTTAGGGCCACTCCTTTTTAATTTATA